CAATGGTAGAAAAAATTATCACTTTAATTGACACTTTTCATGAAAAATGAAGCCAAACGGACACCAAACTTTCAAAATTTTCCAGGCAAAAAATTATACAAATCAAACACAATTAATTACAATTCTCATCAAAACAATTTCTAGACAATTCAATTCCCTAAAATTCATTTTCTTTCCATCCATTTTCCACCTTTGCAACTAAACGCATCCTTATAGGCATTCTATTATATTTCTATTACCCTTTTACCCTTCCTCTAACTAACTAAGTGGAACACTCTAGAATAGTTGATGACTTGGCCGCATTCTGATTGGATAACTATCAGTGTACATTTACTTAAGTCTCTCAATCTTTTTCTCCATGGATTCTCCGATGCTGATTGAGGAGAAGTCTGGATTATCGTCGCTTCACCTCCTGTTTCTGTATTTCCCCTGGTAACTTCCAATTGTTTGGAGCTCTAAGAAACAGCATATTGTTTCTCATTCCAGCACAGAAGTTGAGTACAGAAGCCTTTCTAATGCTGGTGCTGAAATTTTGTGTCTTCAATCTCTCTTCCATGAGCTTTGAATTATCTCAACTTGTACTACAACCTTGTGGTGCAACAATTTTGAGTGTTATGTTTCTCAGTGAGAATCGTGTGTTGCATTCCCGCACCAAGCACATTGAACTAGATTTGTACATTCTTTCTTCGTGAACTTGTTCTTGATAGATCTCTCTCGGTGAATCATGTTCCAGCAATTGATCTCACTAAGCCTCAGTCATTTTTATTTTTGCATTTTAAGACCAAGCTCAGTGTGATCTCAAAGACAATTCACTTGTGGGAGATGTTAAAGATAATGGTTCTTAACTATTAATAAATTTTTAATAAGTTGTGTAGATATTCTTTGCATTCTGGATCCTTCTTTTGATATGCTGAGTGTACGATCTGTTTTTCCATGTATGCCTATTTTTTGTATGTCTATATGTGGACGGATGTAACACATTTCAATATAGAATACAGAATATTCATTTTGAGTCTCATCCCCTTCATCTTTACTCGTTATAAAAACGGTCGTAATGTTTCTGTCTCTGATATTCCCCAATTGGAAATGGCTGCACTAATTGAAATTGTAAAAACGTTTGTAAAGTTGATTCCTGCCTCATGTGGGCAATGAGTGATTCATATGTTGACCAATTCCCAATTCAGGATTACATGTTGCGCCAAAAAAAAAAAAGATAGTTCACTTGGTTAATTTTGGCCATTGCTCAAGTCAGCTACCAAATCTTCTGTAGCACGGACACTTCAATTAGGGAAGTTTGTCCGTGTTGGACACGAGTCGATACCGGCATTTCTCGGACACTTTACCGTAATCATTTTTATTTTTATATATATTAGAAATATTATATATTGTTAATTCAAAATTATTAGCAAGTAACAAATAGGTACTTATGTTTAAAAGATTTCAACAAGAAAAATCAATAACAAGTATAAAAACTAAATTTATACTATAATAAATGAAGAATTTTTAAGAATTTAATCAACGTGTTGATGATGTGTCATATCTGTACTTTTTTTTAAAATCGCGTGTCGGACACACGTGTTTGTATCGGTGCATCATAGACCAAACCCTTTCCCCTTGTGGATAAAGCCTTGCAAGTGGTATGATAGCGAAGCTAAGGTACAACCAGTGTGTGGAGTCAACTGGTATATACGGGGCGATCCTAGTGATGGTGAATAGAGGTATGGCTTAGGTGAAATAGGAATTTAAAATAGAGTTTGATTTATATTACCTTTCAGAAGTTTTGATTAATTGGGAGTTTGATATTTTGACGAGTAAACTCTTCCCCCTGTATTAGGGAAAACCTTGGATTTCATTTGCCCAGACTGTTACTGATTATTGGATTCAATTGCAAATTTTGCTTCTACTAAATTCTACCTCTTCTCTAATTTTGTGTCTTTTCTATCTCCTTCTCTTTTGGCTCTTATTCTCTCTATTTCTTCCTTCTTTCTAATACTTTCTCTTCGAATTTTGCAACACCTAAACTGGAAGATAGTATGATTAGGACTTTACATGTTCAACCAGGTAGAAAGAGGGGATTGTAAGTCCACTAAAGTTCCTAATGTGGGAAGCAAGCTAGTTTCATGGGTTGAAAACTGACTGAAGTCTGATATGGGGGATCGCACATTTGATTGTAATGATACCTAGAGAAGTACACAGTACCTTTTATCATGAAGTAATCTTTTGTTTGTGCTTCATTAATAGTAGAAGATAGAGTTCATCCTGGTTTATATTTGCTAATTCCAGGACTTGGGAGGTCTAGGAGCAGAATTTGTTCTGAGTTCTTCATAAACTGCTGGACTTCCTAATGTAAATGCTGTGTTTTCTCAATTGTTTCATCGGTTAATCTTCTGATATGCATATATTGTTTTATTAGCAGGATGCTGATGCTTTGGCAAAAAAGGATGCAGCAACAAGGAAGCGTGCAGAGGATATAGCTGCAGGGCAGGTTCAAATGAATGGCCGTGAGCTGTTTGTGCATGAGCCCTGGGTGTTTGATAATAACCTTTACTAAGGTTAATTTTATATGTTCATTGCAGTTTTCCATGAAAGTCTGTGTATTCATAAATGATATTTGTATCTTATTTTCCATGTATTGAACCGATCTTTAGTTGATCTTGAGTGCATTGGTGTTTGAGGACAAGCTGTGATGGAATGTTGTCATATAAGCTTGATGATTATCCTCCGTTTTCACCTATGGATTTATCCCCGATTTTTATAGACGAGAGATTGGATCTATCAGTTAAATCTTTATGGAATAGAATATAATTATACAGCATTTGTAATCACTTAGGGTCCAGACTAGTTTTGTTCTTGTGCTTATTTACGTGTTTGATAGAGAGAATTTGGTACCTCTGGATGTCTTTCTAAATTTGATTTGCAGTTTCTCTGAAACCTAAATTGATTCACGGAAAGTGAATCTGAAATTTTTAGGTTCACTTTTCAGCGAGTCTAATAGAAAGCTTCAAAAAAAATATCGTTGTTGATCATTGATTTTTTACATTTTTGGAATGCTGAGTTTACCTCATTTTCGTACCCCTCTAGAGAATCCAGACGGCGATGGAAGTCCCCAGCAGAATCGAGGGACTGTCCAGCGGAAATGGGAACGTTTCCGAACGAATCTGGCTACATTGCAGAAAGAAGCCTAGTACTTCCCTCTCCTATGAAGGAAAGTGACTAGAATTAGTCTACTTGTATATCAAGACATGGACATGAGTGGTTACACCTCCTTTGCATGGAGGGTGGGACTCACTTGAATAATATTTTTTATTCGAGTGGATCCCACCCCCCATGTGAGGGGGTGTAACCTGTATGGAGCATCATCGAAACAACAATAAAGTTTGGCTATAAAAAACGAACAGGATTGAACGAAGACCCAATACAGGATGGGGTGCTTGTATTGGTGCTTCGTTCGAAAGATAAAAAGTAGTAAAAAAACCTCCCCAAAAGAAAGAAACCATAAAATTTAAAGTGAGTTGTCTATGTGCTCTCCTTTGTTTCATTATACGAAGTCTTTAATAATAATAATAATAATTATATGTAAGCACCACCTCCATTCTATCGTCAAGCGAGATGGCTGACTCATGGACTGGATTTGTAGGTGATCATTGAATAATACTAACATGTTGAGCTTAGCCCCGCCAGTTGTTAACCTGACTTGACTTCGCTTTAAACCTTTTTTTTTTGAAACGGGCACTCTTGACAATGTAGAGCTTGTTTGGAATAAACGCAAGTGGTCACGACGTGGTGGCAGGACATGAAAAATTTGACAATGAGTAACAAATTCAAAGTTCAAAGATTAATGACAGATAAAAGTTTGACATTGAAATGATAAGCCTGCTTATAATGGTAAACCTGAGGTATATGTTGTCCAGTCTTTAATAGGAGGTTGAGTAATGTTATGCTTATAAGGAGAGAGACATTGGAGGCGCAAGATGGGAGCCTCTCCAGACAAAGGCAGGAAGGCCACAATAAAAGTGTTCGGTGAGGAAGTGACATAAAAGGAGAGGAAGAGGTAATCAGGATATATTTGTAGATTGAGAAATACAAACTTATAGGCAAATAATTTGAATTGAGGCTCATCGAATGTTGGACATAGAGCTTCATCTCATTGATTCGCAGGTCAAACTTGATGATGTCACCTTTTCACTTCCTAGACGTCAAAAGTATGTTATTCCAGGAGAGATGATATTTAAACCCCGGTCACTATCGTAGAAGACATCCAATCAGTTACTCGCATGGCTTTATGTTGTCAAAATGCAACTTGCACGAAGCATCTTAAGATTGATTACAACTGCATCGAACATCAAAGGCCCATCTAATTTGGCTAAGGTTTGGGTATCTTCTAATCATCTCAGAGCCAAGAGGTGATGTATCTATAGTGAGTTATGTCGCCTTGGAGACATTAGTTGACTAGGCATTGGGCTATGCTCTCAATTCCTTGAAAAAGGGTAATTGATGAGGTGATGGAAAGTTCCCTCTTTGCCTTGAAAGTAATAGTGGAGAAGGCAATGGTATGTGCCCTTATTAGAGTATAGATGATCTAGGTGACACGCTCTGATTTAGTAGCCTTAGAAAGGTGGTGCTTCGATTTCATTTTGCTTAGCTGGCAGCCACCTGCTTGCCACGTAGGCATAGGAATAACAATTGTCCCACAAGTTCAAGTTCTTGATTATTTATATAAAGCATTGGCTTGAAAAGATGTTAGGATTTGTGAATTGTACGTTTGAACTTTGTTGATAGGCCTATTGTGGAAGTTTGTGCTTTTGCTGGAGTGGAGAGTGCTTTTATGTTATTGGAGCTGAGGCTATACCATAGACAAAGTGACACAATAGTCGTCCAACTCCAAGTATTAATATTTATATAACCCATTGGACTTTGTAGAAGAGGTAAGAAATTAAGAGATGACTTGCCTTTGTACTGAAGCCCCGTGACCTGGTCCCAAGTGCAGTAGTCTTATTTCAGGGTGGCTTTGAAGAGGTGTAGAGGCTTATGTATAACCCAACATTCTGTATATTCAAGACGAAGCTAAGAGGTGCCACAAAATACAGATTGAAGGGCCTGTGTGCATATAATCATGACCTTACATGTTCCCAAAGTTGAAATGACGCTGCAGGTAATGATGATGATTGGATGCATGAAGCATTTCGACTATGAGGTGGCCACCATGCATGCATGAGGGGCACGACTTATCCTGGGGCTTTTGTTTGAATGATGGTTTGGAAATTCTTGGCATTCAACGATTAGGATCAAGCGTGACAGTGAAGGCTGGGATCAATCTTTATCTGATCCAACGATTGGGATCGGAGGTACCTCATCCATATAAATGTGAAGTTTTCACTTTCAACTTTTTTAGCATTTTGCCTCGAAAAAACTCAAGCAAGAAATAAGGCAATTTCCAGCAAAGAAACAAACTCTGGCATGCTAAATTCTAGATTCCAGCTATTTACCAAGAGTTTTAGGTACCAAATTCAAATCTTTGACTTTAAATTCCATTTCTTTCTGCTCTTTTCCTTTTTCTTCTAAAAAATCCTCCAATAATTAATGACGTCAACTTTCTGGCTAGTAAAGAACCTATATATGAAAAATCCTCAAGTTTGGAGGTACCGAAGCGAGTATAGGTCGTAGGAGCCTCTTTTATTAGGTTAGAGGTTCTTCCTATCCAAAGTGTGGGTGTAGTAATAGGGCTAGAGTTGTCTATATCAAATTGTCATGATCTGCCCAATAGAATATGACATGCACTCATCTCAACAACATCACAAATAACTTCTAATTTGTAAAAAGTCCTCAAGAACAAATGTACCATGCAAATTCGAGTCATGTGAATAGACGAGTAGGAGCTAGATTTGGTTTGGTTGACAGTTTCAAATGATTCACCAAATTCTTGACAATCAGATTCTCACAACTGTAACTGTCTATTATCAAATTGTAAACATCGTCATTGATTCGGCACTAGGCCTGAAAGTTCTTCTCCACACACTTCATCGATGTATTCTTCCTCTCCATTTTCCTCATCTTCGACATATTCCTGATTTTGATCCTCTTCATAAACTATATCTACCATGTGTACTAGTCTTCATTCAAGACACTCGTTCGATTTATGTTCGAGCTTTCCACATCTATAACACTTTTCAATAGTCGATTTTGTATACGGATTGTTTGTTGCTCTACTATTCTACGTTTCTCCAATTATAGCCTATTTTGGTTCTAGTGCATTGCTGACGACAAATGGTTTAGTCGTGGGGATGGACGTGACCCTTCCGATGTCCTTTGAACTGTATCATCTGAATATATCCGAAATGGTGGAGGGTGCCATAATTGCTGTGGAAGTAGATATTTAGCTCGAAACGCCATCTTCCCGACGTCTATCAATGAATGAATGGACTGAACTTTCATATTATTCTAAAGGAGTATTAGCACAAAACATCCTTACGTTTCAATTTTTTGCATTTGCACCCATATTTTCACGTTTCATTGTAGAAATCGTAATTTTCATCAATTTTCATTCATTTTCTCAATAAAAAATTGTAAAATGACAAATATACGCTCATATTTAAATAAAACAAAGATAAAATAAAATAAAAATAAAGAAAAAACTGCAACCATAATCCCAAATTTTTCAATAAAATACAAATAAATCCCAAATAAATAATTTAAAAAACAAATTTAAAAAACAAAAAATCACTTTCTTTCCTCTTTTCTTATAGATGAAATTGAATAATTGGTTTTGTAATTGGTGCATGTTTGTGTCAATTTGAGAACAACTCTCTCGTTTTCTTCTTCTTTTGACTTGTTGAAAAAGTTGAATCAAACCTTATCGATTTTGACTTTATCTTCATTTCACTATTGTAGTCAACCGCAATTATTACTTGAATTAAGAATCACCATTCTTAACTCATGACAAACAGTTTGATCAATGACTAAGATTGTACATTAACGTTATTGTTTGTTTTCTTCAAATACGATTGAAAAAAAAAGCGGTTCGCTTTGAAAGTTTTCAATTATGCATTACTCCAATCTCTCTTGCTTAAAGATGGCAGAATATTCAACCACTGGGTCACCCAAATTGAACAGATTTTCAAAGCATCAATCCACTTCTTGTTTATTCCTTTACTTATGTAAAGTAATAGTTAAGATCGGAAATAAATCTTACGTAACATTATACACAATAAAATCGGTAAGAATATATTAATTATAAAAGATATCTTTGATCTGGTAACTAATAAACTTAAGAAAAGTTTAATACTAAACTAATATTTCCTTAAATTTACTTAATTGATACATCAAAGAATATCTAGAATGGCAAGTATGAATAAGCTGCAATATGGTAACAGAAAATCACATCACATTTTAAATATTAAAACCCTAGAATTCGCAGCCACAGTATTCTATTGAAATAGCTTACCATCTAGTTAGTTAGGATTGACAATGGTGGAACCAGCATTGAAGTTCAGCCTGGGCGAACGTTGACCGGTCAACGTCAACAATTAACGATCGTAAGAGCGATGTCGTTTATTAATATTTAATTAAATAATATTAAAAATTATTCAATATATATATGTAAATGCACTAAAACGTAAAAAAATTATATATATATGAAAATGTAATTCAATACATCTCAAAATACTAAAGAAATACGCTATACAACCTACTCTGTAATTGTGATCTTTGACAACTGCATTCTACGGGATCTCATGTTTTGAAAACGTTGCAATATTGCTTTATTCTCAATTTTTTCAAAAACATCTTTTTCCATGTAAACGACCAAATTGTCATTCAACCAATCGTCTCCCATTTTGTTGCGCAAGTCACTCTTGATTAGATTCATAACAGAGAATACTCTTTCACCACTTGCAGTTGCCACAGGTAATATCAAAATTAAGGTGATTAGCTTATAAACCAATGGAAAATAACAAGAGCTTCTTGTTTCAACCAACTTCTGAGCCATACAAAAAATGCTATTAAGGTTAAAGAAAGCTTCATCCATTCTCAAAAATATAAGGAACTTGTTAAGTTGAGGTTGAAGTAATAAAATCTCTTAAATATTGAAGTCCAAAGGATACAACTAAATAAGACGTAACAATTTATCCCTATAGAAATCTCTCGAATTTAAAAACGAAATACAAGTTAGGAGCTCAGTAGCTGTCTCGGAAAAACGATCATTCAACTCTTACAAGATTGAGTTTATCACATGACAATACAAATAAATATAAAAGCGATGATAATAAGTCACCTGCTGACCACACCTAGGTCGACCTTTCAATACTACAATATCCTTCATATTGGGCACTAAAATATGTCTAACAAGACAAACCTCAATCACCATACTCAACAAATTATTTCAGAAATTGTCTCTCATATCCTGCAATGCATACTTACACAAATTTAATAACCTCATAGCATTCTGAATATCATGATCATTTTTCTGTAAGGCTTGTGAAATGTCATCTATAATTGCAAGAATTTCAAACATAAAGTGGAGATTGAACTCAAACTTAAAGTCTTGCATAGTGTCCATCTGTATTGCGGCCATTAATAATACGAGTAATTGTCAGTAGGTGTGAGCCCTATCTAGTACCACCTGGGCATGCTAAATTCACTTCTTGAAACTTACCACTCCTACCACAAAGTTCCCCAATATTAAGCTTCTCCAAAATATCTGCATGGTAACTTGTTCGAAGAGTATCTACACGCTTACATGATGCACCAACCAAATTCACAATAATAACAAGCATGTTAAATAAATCACCAAGTATATTATTCCTACGTGCCACAAAAACAACTGCCAACTGAAGTTGGTGAGCAAAGCAATGGACATACATAGCATTCTCTCTTAAAATTAAAGCTTTCAAGTCATTAAACTCACCTAACACATTGCTTGCTCCATCATAACCTTGACCTTTAGGGCTATATATGCTCAACCCATGCGTAGAAAATATTGCATCAATGACATCCTTTAGTGATTGGGCACAAGTATCAGCGACATGGGTAATGCCCAAAAAATGCTCATTTACATGCCCACTTTGATCAACAAACCTCAAAACAACTACCATTTGTTCTTTTATAGAATTATCACGAGTCTCATCAACCAAAATTGAAAACAAACAATTACCCATCTCATTGATAATAGTCCTTATTGTCTCTACGGCACAACAATTGACCAAGTCCTTTTGGATCTTTGGTGAAGTCATTTAGTCATTTCTTGGATCATTACT